TTTGTATTTCTCTCTTGTTCACTCTCACATCCTGTACAGGGCCACGTGACTTCTGAGGGTACCATTTAGCGTATGTTCCTCTGCTCACACATGCACACAAACATTCACACACATTGGCCCACAGATGTGCACACCCATAGAGACATGTAGATAACCCCAGATGTCTGGCATAAACACAGATGCACACACGGTCGTGTGCCTGATCACAATCAGCTGTGCACACACATGTCCACACATGATGGCTGAGATGAGCTGCAGACCTGTGAGTGGGTGGTACCATGTGTGTGCAGGTTGGATGGTAAGCAGCATCCACAGCCAAGAGCTCCTCTGTGGCCTCAGAGGAGACTTGGGGCCCTGATGTCCACCTGGAGTAGGAAGAGAGTGTGAGGCTGCTGGCAAGAGGAGCTCAGCTGGGAAGACTTAGGCTGTCACAGCCTCATTGCAAGACATACACACAAACTCACCTGTGCACCCATGTGTGTGTATGAACACACATTCCAGTGGAATGTGCCTTTTCTCTGCTGTCGTCCTGTTGCCTTGGATCAAACCAGAGATGCTAGAAGTCAGGGAATGGAACATGCCGGAGGAGGAGCCTGTGTGACTGAGGTTAGGAAACACTAGCTGGTGGGAAGAACCTCTCTTCGTCTGTGGAAACCTGTTCCACCACTTCCTAACTGCATGGCCTTTGACAAATTAGCCAGTCATTCTCACCTTCCATTTCCACATCTGTGAGGTGGGGGTAATAACAGTCCCTACCTCCTAGGGCGTTGAGAGGATTGATGGGGATGTCTGATGTATCTGAGGCATTTAATAAATAGTTGTTATTATTAATTCATTCATCCGGTCCTCATCTCCGGAGCCCTGCCTCCATGCCAGCCCCTGTGATTTGGGATGGGATGGGGAATCCAGAGATGTGTGGGATACACGTTCTGCCCTCCAGGGGCTCAGTCTAGGGGGGAGATAGAAGTGTCATCACACACTCTGATCCAGGGCTCGAATGAAGAAAATCCATGCACGGTGCTTTGTGTGGTGCCTGGTTCAGTGTGTTCAGTAAATGGGAGCTGTTCTTATTCTTATTCTTGTTTTCGCCATCACTTCTATGACCTGAGTTTAGTCATGAGGAGCCTGAGGAGGGGAGAGGTGCCCTCTCAGGGCTGGGTGGGGAGGGCCCCACTTCTGAGGAGGTGTCAGTTGAGTCTGGCCTTGTCGGGTGAGGGGGATGAAGGGCAGTGCTGTTTCATGTGGAGGCCCAGCAGGAGCAAAGGCAGGGAGGTGACAAGTAGGAGTGGCAGTTAGTTTGGGATTGCTGGGTGCCAGGGAAGGGGAGGGCATCAGGCTGGAGGGATGAGGGGGCAGACACCAGCCAGACTGGGACAGTTCTGGAGGCCTTCAGAGTCCAGTGGACTGGGGCACTCATGGAGCCAAGAGAGGCATGGCTCCTGGCTTCAGTTAATAAAGACTTGTCATGCATCAAAAACTGTGAGATCAGCAGTAATTAAGTCAATTAAAATGTCACTTACCACATTAACAGCAGTGAGTTTTAAGGCAACAAAGCCCCTGAGTTTGGTGGGGGAGGGGCATGTCAGCCCAGCAGTGGGGGCGGAGGGGGAGGGAGATGGATAAAATTACTTCTAAACTCTATTCCCTCTTTCCCACGTGGCATTTGTGACACCTTTTGGAGCCTGGCTCCATCCCCATATCCATTGGAACACAAAGCTAAACCTCCCTCCATTCCCACCGTCAAAAAATGAAAGGAAAAATATAAATATGAAAATCATCTGTAATCCCACCTGCTAACTCCCAGAGATAACCTCTGTTAACATTTTGGGGTATAACCTTTTAGAATTTTTTCCGTGTATATTTATACATGCATTACAAAAATGGGATCCCATCATGCGTACTGTTACCTATGTCTTCCAGTCAACAATATATCGTGAGCACCAGCACATACAGATACACAGCATGGTTTTAAACTGTGGCAGCATCTTCCATCGTGGGCATGACTCTCCCCTCATGTACTGAACTAATCCTCTCTCGATGAGCAGTGAGGTTTCCAGTTGTTTGCCATCATAAGCACAGCTGTGATAAATATTCCTGTGTACATATCTCTGCATACTTGAAGGATACACTTCTGCAAATGGAATTGTGGAGTGAAGTGATGCTCTCACTAAAGGTTTTGGATGCAGGGACGAAAGGACTCTTTTGTCAGTGAGGTAGGAGAAGGACCATTTCCTACTCCCCCAGATAACACTGGGTAATAGCTTTTCTTCATATTTGCTAATCTGATTGGTGAAATTTTTATTTTATTGTTTCTATTTTTCTTTCTTTGATTACAAGGAAAGGCTGAACTTTTTTGCCCCATGTCATCTGGCTATTTGTGTTTCTTCCTTAATAAGCTGTCTCTTCTTTTACTTAGCCCATCTTTTATTAAGGTCATCCATCATCTTTTTGTTTCTATGTAAGAGCTCTTTGTATATTATGGATATTCTCTTTTATTTTTACTTGTGCTATTTATTGTTATCAGTTTTGCTATGTCATGTACAGTAAATGTTTCCCTAGGTTTGTTGTTTGCTTTTTGGCTTTGTTTATGGTACATTCTGTTATACAAATGCTTAAACACTTTTTGTTGCCATGTCTATCATTCTTTTCTCTTAGAGCTCTGCCTTTGGGGTTGTGTTTATGGTGCAAGAGTGAGATTCTGTAAGTAAATGTTGTTGGTAGGTGTCATGTGTGAGTGTCGACTCAGAAATCTGTCAATCCAACCTTCAGCTCCCAACTTGTATATCCAACTGCCAACTCAACATTCTTATTAGGAAGTCAGATCCATATTTCACACTTACCATGCCCCAGAAAAGCCTCAATTTCCATTCTCTCCCACTTCCCAGACCCACTTCTCCGCTAGTGCTCCCGATTCAGAAAGAGACCCATCTTTACACTGTGTCTCAGGCCCAAAACTCAAGTCATCCTTTTTTCCCTCTTTTCCTGACGTCTTATAACTAACCTATCAACAGTCATGTTAAGTCTATTTGACCACTTCCCCCCACGTCCACCCTTACCACCCTAGCGGAAGGCCCGCCAGTCACTGGCCTGGATTCTGCAGTGGCCTGGTCTCTGCGCTTCTCTTCTTGACTCTCTGCAGTCTGTTCTCCATACAGCAGCCAAAGTGAGCTTCTAACAACAAATCATCGTGTTACTCACCTATCTGAGACTCTCCAGGAGCTTCCCGTCACACTCAAGAGAGAATCCAAACTCCTTACAATGGATGGTGACTCCCTCTGGGGTCTGGCCCCCTCCTCTCCCTCTCTGTCTCCAGCTACCCTCGTTTCATTGCTGTTTCACACACGCACCAAACTTGCTCATGCCTCAGGGTCTTTGTCCTTGCTGTCCCTTCTGCCTGGAAACCCTCCCCCCAGATTCACGTGGCTTATTTTGAACATCAGAGCACCCTTTCCTGACCACGTGTTCTAAACAGGCCTCCCCTTTCCTCTTGCTAGGCTCCTCCTCTGCCTTATTTATCTTCCAAGTACTTACTTATTCCTGTCTGATATTATTACGTCAGTTTATTTGTTGTTTTATAGCCCTCCCCGCCAGAGGGTAAATTCCATGAAGGCAAGGACTTTGGTGCTTAATAGGTGGGTGCATGATAAACAACAGTTGAGTGAGTATGTGAGGGTGTGACTGTGTGTGAGGGTCGTGTTTGTGTGCAGACACATCTGCTGCAGGGGTAGGTGTCTGTGAAGATGTCTGTGTGTGCAGCTGTGGGAATGATGGCGTTGAGTTTGTGAATGTTGATGAGTTTGTGTGTGAATGACTGTTGAGAACGTCCACCTGTGTGTGTTTGTGCATAGAACGTGTGTGTGTGTGTGTGTGCATGTGGGCTGTGAATGTTTGGTTATATGTCCACTTCAATGACAGTGGGGAGCGGAGACACCTGGACATATCCATCCTCATATCAAATGGACTACTTTCCAAAAATGATATTTCAGGCCAGTATGTGGTGGGTGCTCAGCCAAGGACTGTGAGGATCTGGAGGAGACCTGGGCTGGTGGGACCCTGGCGGCTTTGTGCTGATCTGAGCCATCTCAGCAGAAAAGGATGTATTCTCTGATGCGTTAGCCACCAAAGAATGAGGCTGAAGCCATGTGGGGCAGAGCAGGCCCTGGACAGGCAGTGTGACCTCACTATGTGTCTGCTCTTTCTCTAAGCCTCAGTGGACTCATCTGTAAATTGGGTTTATTGCTCTTGGTCTGCTGGCTTCTTGGGAATCTGGTGAGAACAGAGGGAGGCAATGGTCGTGTGTGTATAGCAGCAGTAACAATGTTCTCATGTCTGTGTAGTACATGAGGGTTTTAATCCACTATCTCATCAGAGCGAATGCCTCAGTGGTCCCAGTCCAGCTCTAGACTTGGCCCCTTGTGGACCTCAGTGTCTGTTTGTTAAATAACAAGTATGTAAATGAATATATGATGTACAAATAAGTAAGTGCCTGGGTGATTAAATGAAGAGATGACTGCATAAAGCAGCAAACAGATTGATAAATCACAATGACTAACATTTTGGAGCACATGCTATGTGCCAGACCCTATTGTTGAGGCTTCTCTTAATCCTTGCAATGATCCCATGAGATAAGTACTATTATTAACCTCATTTTGCAGATGGAGAAACCGAAGGTCAGAGACGTTAAGTGACTTAGCCAAAGCTACAGATCTCCTGGGTGGCGATGTGGAGATCCCAGCCCTGGCAGTCTGACTCCAGAGCCCAGAGCATTAACCCCTACACAAGTCCTGCCGCGTGGATGAATGAATGAGTGGGTGGATGAATAAGCAGAGGCAGGAGCCCTCACGCTCTTAGCTGTGGGCAAGGCAGGCTGCTTTCTGACCCGGAGGCACAAGCTCTCGGGGTAGGGTGGCATGCAAGGTCTGGGCGAGGGGCAGTGCCTCCCCCGGGGTAGAGTGTGACAGCATGGCCTCACGTCCCCTCTCCCTCTGCCCTGTCCGCAGGCACATGCCGCCATGCAGCACTACGGGGTGAACGGCTACTCGCTGCACGCCATGAACTCGCTCAGCGCCATGTACAACCTGCACCAGCAGGCGGCCCAGCAGGCCCAGCACGCGCCTGACTACCGGCCATCGGTGCACGCGCTGACGCTGGCCGAGCGCCTGGCTGGTAAGGGCCGCTTGTGGGGATGGGACCTTGGGGACAGGATTACCGGGGCCAGGGGTGGAGGAGAGGTCTATGGGAAGAGGCTCTGGAAGGTGAAGATAGGAGGGATCCCTGGGAACATTTACTCTGGGAGACTCAGGAAGACCCAGGTCACTCAGCATCACAGAGCTGTCAATTTAAAATCTGCATGTGAGTGAGCACCCTTGTTTGCTGGCACTATGCTGGGCCCTGGAGCTGCCCTGTGCCTTCCAATTCCCTTAACAACCCTGTGAGGGAGGGATTCATTAGCCTATGTCACAGATGGAGAGAGGGTAAGGGACTAGCCCAGAGCATTGCAGGAAGTGGCTGGCATGCCCGGGGAGTCAGATCAGTGTAACGGCTCCCATGTTTTGAACACCGACTGTGTGCCAGGCACTGTGTGAGGCTCTCTCTCTGTACATTAAACCATTCAACCTCAGTAAAGGGAGGTTATTATCTCTATTTTATGGGCAAGGAAAGTGAAGCTCAGAGGCTAAATCTAGGCAGGGGTAGGAGATTAGAATGTGACATTATGGCTGCAAATATGAGCTTTGAAATCACAGACTAGTAATTATTGTATGGTCTACCCAATCACTTCTCTTCTCTGAGTCTCAGTTTCCCCCTTTATATACAGGGAACAATGGCAGGGTTCATCCCACAGGATGGTTGGGAAGTTACTTGAGATAAACGTATGCAAAGTATTTAGCGGGGGCTGGTAAGTGCTCAGAGGTAATTATTACCCCCGTCCTAAGGCAAGTGCCCATGAGGGAGCTGCGACTTTGTTCCCCCCACTCTTGGTTCGACTGATTGTTGCCTGGCCCTGACAGCCTCTCAGTGGGCATGGGAAGGATCTGATGGCAGAGGTAGGGAACGTGATTTCCTGGGAGGGGATGCCACCCATCCTATCCTGTCCCAAGCAAACCTCAAGCAGCTGGTGAACTGCTCTGGCCCTGTACCAGGTGGTCCTTAGAGGGCTTTAGGGCACTCTCAGGGAGACCAGTTGCCCATAGGCCCATGAGAGGGCATGGCAGGTAGAATGTGGCCAGGGTCAATAGTGGGGTGGATCAGAGCAGCATGCTCAGCTGGGGTAGTCAGGGAGGGCTTCCTGGAGCAGGAGCCAAGCCTTAAAAGGGTCAGGAGGAGGGACTAGTATGAGTGAAAGAAATGGGATGGGTATGAGGAACCTGCTTGGGTAGAGGTTCTGGCCTAGAAGGGAGGGTAGGGCAACCTTCCTACTCCTTTAGACCTGGCTGGGCTCTGGGAAGGGCTCAGTGGATGAACTTGAGCCCTCGGTAGGTAGGGGGTATAGCTCAATGGTAAAGTGTGTGCTTAGCATGTGAGTGTTATCCTGCCCAGGCTGTGGCTGCTTCTCTGGTTTGGAGTGAATTCCCTGTGCCCAGCCAGGTGGTGACATTAGCTCCTGCCCATGTTCCAGGGCCCAGAGAGGAGGAGTCAGGGACAGAGGCTCTCCTCTGCTGGTGGGGACAGAGGAAGTGGAGTATTCAGCACTCCCACCAATTCTCTGATCTCAAGGCGGGACATGAGCTTCAGGTTGGCCTTTGTACAGAGGGCTCGCCTTCCAGTAGGAGATTATTGCTGATGGTACAGTCTGGCCTCCCAAGCTGTGACTACCCCCAACTCCCCGTCCCACTGTCCCTGGAGCCTGCAGCAGGATCTTGAGCTTTTGCTTCCCCACACAGGGTTCTGCTAAGAGTGGTCCCTACCTGGGATTAGTGCTGGTTTGTGAGGGTTTCAGGGCTCCCTCTTTATACTGAAGAAGGAGCAGCCCAAAGTCAGAGGCTTCCTGGATCCCCAGTTGCCTCCTTCCTCATTTAGAGTGTTGCAATGACTCCCCAGTCCCTGGAGTGCAGGGGAAGGACTCCACAGCTCTGTGCAGAGGTTGACACAGCTCAGGTTCCCTCAGCATAGATAGTCCAGGATCCACCTGTGGGTGATGGGAGACAGGGAGAGAGAGATTTACTGTCCATCTTCCAGGCACTAGTCAAGCAGAAGAGCTGGAGGCTAGACAGCAACCGTAGGCAGACATCTATGCTGGGTGATTCATATTCCCAGCATGTGGGCAGGACTGTGGAATCTATGGTCCGCCAGCCTTGTCTCCCCTCCAAGCCTGTGGTGATTAGTACTTACTCTTTTTGTCCATCTCTCCTTGAGGAAGCAGCCAGAAGGGTTAAGACTGCATGCAGCAAGCCTTTCTTGTGTCCTGAGGGCCCTGCCAGAGCCAGGCTTTCTGATGAGGGGATGTAAGAGCAGGAGCCTCAGGTCTTGCCATGAGAGACTCAAAGGCCAACTGGGATGATGAGATTTCTACCCAGAGGACAGAGAATCAAGTACCAGTGAATTCTGTCTACTCAGCCAGACCTACCCCAACTAGACCTTGCAGATAAGTCCCAGGCTCACAGCCTGGCTTCTCATGGTCAGGGGCCAGTATTCTGTTGGTATCCAGAATCTAAGAGTCATAGGAAATTAGAACCTTTGTGACATGGACATCCAAATTATTAGCATCATGTACTCCCAGAATATTATACCTATAGTATCCTGGGACTTTAAGGATTTTAGGGCACTGTTCACCCACCTATCTACCCAACCTAAACCAAATAGGGAAGATCTCCCTCAATCACATTCCTGATAGCCATTCATAGAGATGAGTTAGGTCTCTGTGGTCCTGATAGTGAACCATGGGGTGGAGCAATCTTGAAGATCCAAACACATGAAGAGGAGATGGGTGATTTCCAAGGGGAAAGGACCAGGGCCCAGCTCTGGCAGGACCACAGTGAGTCAGAGCAGGGTAAAATTCAAAACCTATTTCCCATAATTAAATGGGCCCCCTCTCCTTGCCCTCCAACGGCTGTACATTTCAAGACATCATCTTGGAGGCCCGCTATGGCTCCCAGCACCGCAAACAGCGTCGCAGCCGCACAGCGTTCACAGCTCAGCAGCTTGAGGCCCTGGAAAAGACCTTCCAGAAGACTCACTACCCAGATGTGGTGATGCGTGAGAGGCTGGCCATGTGCACCAACCTGCCTGAGGCCCGGGTGCAGGTAGGGCCAGTTCGTCTAACTAGGCCTTGCAGACAAGCACTTGCCCATTAATCTAGCTTCTCACTGTCTGGGAGCCAGCATTTCAGACCTTGGTGCCGAAATGCATCTGGCGTCTCCAAGAATGCCTTCTGTGATGGGAGGGAGTTTTGGAAGGGATTGAGGGTGTGGGTTTCCTACAGGGCAAGGAGTAATGCTATCCACCCCTGTCCCAACACACGTTCATAGCACCCTGCTCCACAACTCCACTTCTTCCCCTGCCACTCCTGTTGCTTCTCTCCCTGCCCCCAGGTGTGGTTCAAGAACCGCAGAGCCAAGTTCCGGAAGAAGCAGCGCAGCCTGCAGAAAGAGCAGCTCCAGAAGCAAAAGGAGGCTGAGGGCTCCCATGGGGAAGGCAAGACTGAGGCCCCAACCACAGACACCCAGCTGGAGACTGACCAGCCCCCCAGCCTGCCTAGTGGTGATCCCCCTGCTGAGCTCCACCTGAGCTTGTCTGAGCAGTCGGCCAGTGAGTCAGCCCCCGAAGACCAGCCTGACCGGGAGGAAGACCCCCGGGCAGGGACCGAGGATCCCAAAACTGAGAAGAGCCCTGGGGCTGAGAGCAAGGGGCTGGGCTGCAAGAGGGGCAGCCCCAAGGCAGGTGAGGCTCGGCAGGGGCTGTGGGTGGGCTGGGGCCCAGCCCAGGCGAACAACCAGGTCTAGCCTCACAGGGGCCTGGGTAGGTGAGGTGGGTCAGACCAGGGGTAGGGTCAGCCTTTGACACATGACACCCAGCCTGACCCATAGAAAGGATTTGGCCACAGCAGGCCTGTGCCAGGTGGTTAAGGGAGTTCTGGGGGAGGGGCTGTGTCCCAGGGAGGGGTACTTGGGAAGCTCAGGGCAAAAGCTGTTTATCAACCATTATAGAAATATTCCAGTATTTTAACCATCAGTACAGATGTACCAGTGCATACTGGGTGAGTACCACATGGGTAGTCGAGAGTCCCACATGCAGCAGAGAGCTGTGATTTTGAAGGATCAGAGCTCTAGCAGAAGGCATATCTCAGACATAAACCCTGGGCCCAAGCAGGGAAGGGGTGGAGTTGTGAGCTAAGAGCTGGAGGAGGATGGGAGCCACAGACAGGATGGTCGGAAGGGGAGCTGACCACCCTTGAAAAGAAAAGGAGTCTCCCAAAGAAGTCAGATATGAGGGCCTTGGTAGGGTCCCTGGTGCTCCCCTAGAAAGCTTGAGTCCCTCCCTCCCAGGATTCAGGGGGATGCTTCAGGGAATGCCCTGGCTGAGCTGGGTGGATATGGTTTCAACCAAAGCCTGTTTTGTCTGCAGCGCCAGGGGGGTGGCAAGGCTGAGGGAGCCCCTCCCAGCAGACCACTGCCCTTGTCCTGAGTCTTAGGTTCTTGGTCCTCTGCTTGCAGATTCCCCGGGCAGCCTGGCCTTGGCTCCTGCAGCGCCTGGGGGTGGCCTCCTGGGCCCCTCCCACTCCTACTCCTCATCCCCGCTGAGCCTCTTCCGTCTGCAGGAGCAATTCCGCCAGCACATGGCCGCCACCAACAACCTGGTGCACTACTCATCCTTCGAAGTGGGGGGCCCAGCCCCCGCTGCTGCTGCCGCGGCTGCGGCCGCTGTGCCCTACCTGGGTGTCAACATGGCCCCCCTGGGCTCGCTGCACTGCCAGTCCTACTACCAGTCCCTGTCAGCGGCCGCCGCTGCCCACCAGGGCGTATGGGGGTCCCCACTGCTGCCCGCGCCCCCTGGAGGCCTGGCCCCGGCCTCGGCTGCCCTGAACAGTAAAACCACAAGCATCGAGAACCTGCGGCTTCGGGCCAAGCAGCATGCGGCCTCCCTGGGACTTGATACTCTGCCCAACTGACTGCTGGCCTCCCCCTCAGCCAGGGCTCTTGGGTGCCCCCAGCCCAGCCCCAGGATTATCCCAACACAGCTCTCAAGGAGTTCACTTGGAGTCCTGCTTCCTGTCCCCGTCCCCCAGAGCTCCAGCCCTAGGTGAAGCCCACACCTATCGCCCTCTGCATGGCCCTGCTTGGACCCCACGGAGGCTGAATGGGGAGGAGGTGAGAGGCTGCTGCCCCCAGCTTTCCACGGGGGAGTGAGAGGCTGGTAGTAGGACTGGCTAGATCGCTGGCGAGATCCCCACTTCATTGTCGCCTCCTCCCTTCCCTCCGTCCCTCCCTCCCCTTCTGTCCCGAGTAAGTTGGTGTGTGGAATGTGAGATATAAATATAAATATATAAAGCTATATTTTCAGGCACCTGCCTGCCCCAGGCCCCCTGCTCCCCTCCGATCTTTTCTCCACTGCCGTGCTCCCCCGCCCCCCGCCCTGCCTCCCCTCCGCATCTCACTCTGGCCTTCCCATCTCTCCCTCTCCCTCTCCGCTTTCCTTCTTCCCTGAGCTCCCTTTCCCTGCCTCTGTCCAGTTTCTGCCCCACCATCTCTCTCTGGATCACCCCTCCACATCTCTTCTCCCTGCCCCTGCTCTTTTTCTTTTTTGCTGGCTGAGTTGGTGTTGTCAATTCCCAAGCTATGTTTGTTTTAGCTTTAGTTTTAGTAATTTTGCTTCTTCCTGTTCCTCCCCTTTTGCTTCTTCCTTGCCTGCCTATCTCCTCCCCGCCAGCACCCTCCTGAGGCCCTGTTCCTGTCCATCCCCAATAGAGGTGATAAGACCCTCACTAAAGATCCCGTAGCTACTGGAGCTGCAGGCAGGAGGGGGCCCTAGCTCCCACACCTCCCCCCGCACCCCACCCCCGGGCCTGGAGTCTGGAAGGGCATGTTCTCTTCTCTCTCTTTTCTAGCTTTGAAGCCCCTGTTCCCCAGATTGAGAAGGGAGCAGAGGCAGGAGTCAGACTGGGGCGGGCAATAGAATGGTAGCATCCAGGCCTGACCACAGGGCTGAGGCCTGCTGCCAGGGTCCATCCAGGCCTGACCACAGGGCTCTAGACCTCTCTTTGGTGAGACTTCCCTGGTTGGAGGGAGGCAGCAGAGAAGGGGTGCTCTCAGAGACGTGTCTTCAGAGGAATGCGGTCCTGCGCCCCAGGCCTGTCCAGGGCAGGGGTGCAGCTGGCATAGGAGGGAAGGTCGGACTCAATCTCCTGATCACAGTAAAGGCGAATCACGTGGCAGTGCGGAGTTTCAGGCTTCTGTTGGCGTCGTGTCCCAGAGCCACTGTCGAAGTTAGGGCTTCTGTCCAGCTAGTCAGTGGTGTGGAAAGGTGTGTTCCCGTTTATGGTCAGGAACCCGGCTCAGCAAACTCCCTTTCAAAGCAGTGTGACCTTGCATCAGCCCATAGCTTCTCTGGGCCTGTGTCCCCACCTGGATTAGATGGCCTGTAATGTCCTGTCCAGCTCTAACTTTCCTCACAGCTGTGCTCACAACCCTGCGGGGCTGAAGTTTTCAGTTAAACTAACAACAACCGCAAAAAGGCTCTCGAAGCACAGTGTATGAATCAGAAGACTGTTGTCTGTCTGTGGAGCAGTGGGTGTTGCACTCACAAGCCTCTCTATGGGTAAAGCCACAGTCTCTGGGTCTCAGTTTCCTTAGTAAATATGATGGGTCCTTTTGAGTTGAGACAACCTGGATTTGATCCTGCTTTTCTTGAGTTTCAGTCCAGCCTCTGTGGTCACCCCATCTCCAAGCCTTCACATGATCTCAGGAGCTCAGGGCAAGGGGAGGGAAATGGCTTGCACAGATCTGGGTCATGACCCTCAACCCTTTGTGGCTCATCACTGAAGCTGCCACCTCCTGCTTAGAGAAGCAGCGTCTAAAAACTGAAATAAAGATTCCTAAGGCTTGTCTCCTCTCTCAGTGGAGAGGATGGTCTATTGATGCCTCAGTAGGACTGATTTTCAGAGTAGTCAACGTCCATGATCCTTGGGGAGCCCATTTGTCCTGGGGCAGTTGGAGAAGGCTTTGGATGGGAAAAAAGTGAAGAGGATGGTAGCTTGGGCCAGGGAAGCTGTCTGAACAAAGCAGTGGCGTGAGACTAAGTGGATAAAAGGGTGGCTAGCTTCATAAGAGGTGAGGCTGAGGGTCTTGAATCCAGGCTAAAGACCTTATCTCAGTGTAGCAAGGACCAAGACAGCAGGTGAGGACTTCTGGAAGGGGGATCAGTTGAGCCAGGATTGGGTATATGGGATTTGGAAGGTGAACCCAGTAGCCACAGGAGATGAGAGAAGAGACTTGGGCAGGGGTACAGGAGGGTGGCAGAGCCTCTAGGGATTTCTGGTTTATCCTCTGGGATCAGCTCCAGGAAGTTTTGTTTCTGAAACGAAAACGATCTCATCTAGCCCAGGTCTGAGGATGGAAGCTTTTTGCCTGTCCCTGGAGGCAGATGACTGTCACTGGGTCTTGGCATCCAAAAGCTGTAGACATCACCACCTCCTCCAGGAAGCCTCCCCTGACTTTCCAAGGAGCAGGTCCACCCTGGAGTCAGATTCTGTCATGGCGGAGCCAGGCCCACCTCAGGCTTAGACCGGCTTTGACAATATTTCCTTATTCAACTGACCGAATTCCATCAGCCTAGAGAAGGCAAGGAGAGTGTATGTGGTCCCCTTCCCTGGACTGGTCTCAACCTAGTTGAGGAGACCAGCCTCAGTGACTGAACGCAGTTAGAAAATAAGAGGGGATCAAACTTGTAAGCTGTACCCTGCATCTCCTATGAGTGTGGGGTGTGCCCAACGCACCTGAGACCGAGGCGGAAGCCTCTCCCAGCTTGGCCTGGTCACCTTGCGGCTGAGAGCCCGAGGCTCTGCCTGTCCTTTCCAGGAAGGCCTCATCCCTCTCCTCTCCCTCCTGTTTGCGATCTCCATTTCCCTGCTTCCTCACCTCCCCAGAGCATAGTCCAGGGGCCTGGGCCCCCATCCCTACTCCGCGGCAGCGGGCTGTACAGACTGCTTTCCAAACCAGCTATTTTGTGACCTTTTGTGCTTAGAGGTCGTGCCAGCCCGTGGCAAAACCACTGTGTACTGTATTTATTTATTCTGTTAGTTGAAAAAACAAGACTCAAATGCCCCCTCTCCTGCCCCGCCCCCTGCGTAGTGCAGCATGACACTTTGTCCTGTGTATCCCTCTGTCTGTCTGTCTGACTTCCTGTGACGTTGTGACCTGTTTTTTGTCCTACTTGGCTAATAAAGAGAATCTGGCAGCATAGCCCTTGGGCCAGGTTCATTCCCAGAGATGCCCGCAGTGGGCTGAGAGGGTGGTGTCTGTCTCAAGGTCTGCTCACGGCCAGTCCGGCCAGTCTGTGCTGGGCCAGTGGGAGAGGGAGGCAGGCCTGCCTCCTAATTGGCCACTCCCTCCTTGGCCCTCACCAGTCTGTGGCTGGTGTGCCACTCTGGAGTGGCCACAGGGAGTAGAGAGACCAAGATGTGGAAGGAGTCCACCTTCTCCGGGCTGCTTGGTCCTCACCCAAGCATGTGTGGCAGGGCAGCCGGGGGCAGAGCAACCTGGGGGTATTCGGGGTAGTCTGGGGGATGGGTCTGTAGGACGGAGAGGGGCAGGGGTTCTGTGGGAATGACGACAGGAAGGGATAGTGAATCTAAAGCCAGAGCTGCTCTCCAGTGAGGTGGGCAGCCTATGGAGGAGGGAGCTCTTTGTCCTCCGAGGTGAGCAAGCAAAGGATGAAAAGGGACTGCTGTGTGGCTGCATGGTTTGGAGATTTACGAAGGGCCTTCTTTTCAAGAAAAAGATGAATGGTGAGCTCCTCTACTCAGCCTTCCCTGGGGTTCTAGAGTGTCTGCATAGGACCCCTGAGTCAGAAGGGGTGGTGCAAGCTCGGAGGTGGGGTTTGGGGGTGAGAGGACCCCTCTGGGTGTTTCCTGGTAGAAGGACACCAGCAGGTCTGAATGGTGTGCAGGGAGCTGCCTGCTGCGCTTCCTGGGCAGGCACCTCAGGCCACAGGGACCCGTGGGGCCCTGACCTCCCCATTTCCCAGGCGGTTGCAGGACTTAGGAAGTGCATTCCTCTCTCCCCAGTGGGATGGAGGATTAGGGCGGGGAGCACCTCCCTCATCTTGCTTTCTCACCTTCATGGGAGGGGCTGGCGGATCAAATGTCTGCCTCAAATCTCCCACTGCCCCTCCAGGACCTCAAGTCCCCCACCTGCCCCTACATACCTCAGCCCCAGGTTCACACCTTCCCTGGTGGAGGGGCGCCCTGGTAACCCTGCTGTTCAAATCACTCATCCACTCAGCACTTACTGAGCACCTGCTGTATGCCTGGCTCCGTGCTGGGTACTAGGTACACAGAAACAACTGAGGAAAACAAAGCAGTACAAAACAGGGTGTGTTGGTGTTCAAAAAATAGAGAACTGTGGGAGTACAGAAGAGGAGTCCCTAGCTCAGCCTGGGGAGGTCAGGACAGCCCCTTGGGAGGGAGACTTGAGCTGAGTCCCACAGGTCCAGTGTTCACCAGGAGGGTAAGAGAGAAGGGTGTCCTGGGGGGCACAGCACACACAGAGCTGCAGGACTGGCCAGTCGGCCAGTGAGCCCCGAGCCCTGGGGGAGCAAGCACCTGTCTGTCCAGGGCCTGAGAACAGTGTGGGGTAGTATCAGGGGCTGAGCAGGGAAAAGGAAGCTGGGAATTTGGACTCAAGCCCAAGGGCTGTGGGGGGCATTGGGAGCTATTTCCGGTGGAGGAGTGGAGTGGGGTGATCACATGTGCATTTTAGTAAGTCCCGCCCCTCCCAATACCTTTGCTGCATGGTGGTTCCCGAGGAGGCAGGGAGACCAGAGAGGAGGCCATTGTCATGTCCTGGTGAGAGGAGGGTGGCATCCATGTGGGTTTGGGGAGGAAGAGTGGAGGAAGAGGTCAGACTGATGAGAGATGTAGGAAGTAGAATTCATTTGGTGACTGCAGGCTTAGGAGAAGTCAAGGTGCTCCCAAGTCTCTGGCCTGGCCACATGGTGGTTTGGGACCCTTGGGCTGGGGTGTAAGGGGAGTGAGACAGAGTTCAGGCTGGTCTTTGAGGTGCCTTCAAATTATTCAGGGGAAGATGTTGGGATGTCCTGGATTGAGATGCAAGAGAAGGGTCTGCCTGGGCGGCTTAGATTTTCATTTATTTAATAAGTAATTACATAGCATTTCCTCTGTGCCTGGCATCTCACAGATATTAAGTCACTTAATCCCCATATAATGCTATGTGATAGGCCCTATTATTATCCCCATTTAACAGATAAGGAAATTGAGGCACAGAGAAGTTAAATAACTCGCCTATGACCGCACAGCGAGTAATGGACCAACCAACGTATGAAACTGGCTAACCTCAGAATCCATGTGCTCCACCTTGGTGGCTGTCAACAGAGACATGGAGAATGAAGCCACGTCACTAAGTGAGATCACACAGGGGATCCTGAGGTTGGGACCTCAGGGAAACACTGACCCATTAACAAAGCACAGAAGAGTCTGTTATGGAACTGGGACAAGCTGCTCTCAGCTAGCTGTTGACTGCGGGCAAATAACTGCCCCTCTCTGGTCCTCAGTCTCCTTCTGTTGACTGGAAATCATTAGCCAAGTCCAGCTGGTTTCCTGGGAGGCTAGGGTGAGATAAAGAGAAGGGTCTGGAAGAGGCCGAGGGGCTGAGGGCCTGAGCCTGGCATGCAGTGGGTGCTCAGACAGCCCGAGGTGGGTGATATGAGAAAGGTAAGGGGTACTCCCTGAAGCAGCTCCCTGAACCCTCCTTTCCCTAGACCTTGGCCCCTGTTATCCTTCAGTCCAGGGGTCTGGTTCCTTGGGGGCCCTGTGGAAGGGGCACCATTAGAGAAGGTCCTGGGGGATGGACCCCTTTAGGGTGGGCCCGCCCTTCCCCCCTTTCCCACAGAGCTGCGGGGGCTGGAGCCCCCCTCCATCTCTCATTCTCCTCTCCCTTCTGGGAAAGCCGATTAGGAGATGGCCTCCTGCCCGCTCCCCTGACAAGTTTGTCTGAACTTCCAACAAAGGCCCTCAGAGGGCTACAGAAGGAGGGCCCGGCACCAGGAACCTGACACCACTGGCCCAGAATCACCCCAGCAGCCTAGGAGGCGGCTCTGTGGCTCTGCCCATACTATGGCTGGCAGGAATGTCTCTGACAGGGGACCTGGTCTCTCCAAGGCCTGGGGGCTGGGCAGGGGCAAGCTAGGGTCATTGCCACCTGGGAGGCCCTCACAACAGGAACAGGGCCAGCACCCGGGTGGGGGGCATGTGGGGCTCTGCATACATTATTAGCTCAGTCCCACACACTCACTCCCAAGGACACACTTATCCTCCACTTACAACCACACACACACATACCCTCTCTGTGATACACACAGGACATGCTAACTTTTGCACTGCCCCACACAATCTCAGGGTGTCTGTCTGTCTGTCTCTCCTACTCATGTGTACACGCCCCCATACAAGCCCTCAGACACACAGCCTGTCACCTGGAGGCTCCGCACTTGCCCCACCCCGACACGTGCATTCTTCCTGGCTTATGCTCCAGACAGCACTGCCCCCACAACACTGGGATATGACTCCAACTCCCTCTACACACAGGCCTCCTAGCCACACTGCCAGCTGGGGGCCTGGCTGCCCAAGATTGCTGCCCTGTGTTGGCCGAAGACACTGGCCAAATACCCACACAAGAGTCAGACCCTGCCCGAGCTGCCACTTTAACAGCCATGTCCCCTGACCCATACATACCTCCATCCTCACACACCTTCTTCCCTCTTGAGGACACCTTCATAGGTGTGTGAACTGTGTAGTCACACAGGCCCCTTGGCTCAAGCCTTCGATTCTTCTGATGTCTACATCTCAATATCCTTAATTTTTAAACCAAGGACCCTGCACCTTCATTTTGCCCTGGACTCTGCCACTTACGTAGCTGCTCCCACTTCCCCATCACAATCTCCCTGGGTCTGACTCACCCGGCCCTTCTATGGCTTCAGAAACTCAGAGTCCCCAGAAAGCCCTCAACTTCTCCCACATACCCAAATGCTTCTGCTTCCTCTTACAGCTGTGCCTTCCCCATCCCCCCTCCATCCCTCCACAGGAAGCTGAGTGTGCTGGGTGGAGGGAACTATTAAGAGCATGCTATACTTCTACACACCCCCTCCCAGTCTGATCTTGGGGCTCAGTGTCCTTACCTGTAAAATGGGCTAACGATAACACCGACTTCAGGGTTCTTTGCAAGGCTTAAATGAGATAACATCTGTAAAACACTTAGCACAAAGGCTGGCATTTATTAAATACTCAATAAAGGCTTGTAATTATTGCTGTGATTGCACTATTATAAGTGCTGGCGAACAAAACTAAACTTAGGCTCCCTGGCCCTATATGTGGTCTAGTGGGTAAAACAGAGATTACTCAAATAATCACACATACGTAAGTGTGCAGTAGCAGCACGAGGAGCACAGGTCTCTGACCTCCCGGGCTTACAGCTAACAGGAGAGGCAGTCTGAGGCAAGGATCAGGGATTGGTTTGGAACAGGGGCAGGGATAAGTCTGAGGGTAGAGTCAGGGATCAGCCTGGGACACGCCGGTTGGGGGCCAGATTTGGAGCTCAGAATGGGGCCGGGGTCAAAGCTTTGTGTACGGCTGGGATCAGGGATCATTTGGGGCTCAGTCTAAGGAAAATCACAGCTCAATTAGCTCTCAGAGTTGGGGCTCAAAATGGGGCCAGCGCAGAGCTCAATTTAGGGTAAGGCTGAGTTAAGTCTGTAACTGGTACCGAGTTAGTTTCATTTCTAGCATTAACTTACTGTGAGGCCATTTGATGAGTGGTTAGGCTTCTGTGAACCTCTGTTTTCTCATCTGTAAAATGGGAAGATCTCTGCCTACCCCCAGGCTTGTGGGAATCCAGTGAGCTAATATTGAAAGTGAAGGATTAAACTGCTGCCATGGCTGCTAGTAATTGCAAGCCAGGCCCCCTGGGGTGCTCCTTCCTGTGCCAGGCTGGGGAGGCCATGCCATCCTCACCCACGTCCCCAGCTGTGGGGAAACTGCCACCCCAGCCTGGGCTCCTTTCCAAGAGGAGTCTGGAGATTTCACAAAGCCCTTTGAACAACAAAGGCCACAGGGGCGGTATTTCCTCCTAGGGGCTGACCGCCCAGTGGCTCCTTTATCTTGGCAACCAGGCTTGAAGAACCATTCTTGGAAAGAGCTTGTGTGGGGCGTGTGCGGGTG